GTTTCTGTTATCTGTTTGTTTACTTGATTGTTATTACATATGTGGCTGTTTCTTTTATCTGTTTGATTACTTGATTGTTATTAACATATGTGGGAAGAGAAGAATCTTTCCTCTTATTTTGCTCTGTTTCTTTTATCTGTTTGTTATTATATATTCAGATTCTATAAGTAGCTTTTAAATATTCGAGTAACAATAAACACAAATAATCTACCTTGTTTGTTACATATTTAGCTTCTATAAGTAGCTTTTAAATATTCGAGTAACAATAACTAAACACAGTGAGTCAACCTTATTTAGTCTTGCAAATGAAGTACTCTAATGGCACCATACTTACATATTTCCATAATAAAATCTATTTGTTTATTTTGTTTGTTCAATCAAGTTATAGCTTCTATTCTGGGACGATTGTAGATTTTTTCTTTCATCCTTTCAATTAATTGGTAGTGATAGCTTCTTATTTGGGGATTATTGTATATATAGTTTTTTTTTCTCTATCTATTTCTTTTCTTGAACGACAACAACCATACTAGCGTGAGTGGGAACACGTTTTTTCCTTTTCCTTTTTAATTTCTTAATAACACAGAAGTTCCCATTCTTCTTTATTTATCATTACTGCCCCATTTACGGTAACTAATATTTCCTTATTTTCTCCTATTTATCTATTTCTATTTTTTTCCACGGTGGTAGAGATACCTGGCTCTGATCGTAATACTGTTTCTGACTCTTTTAGTGATCATGTATGTGACAACAATATGTTTCTGGTTGTTAAGGTGTTTAGTGTGTATAGGCTGTTTCTGGCTGGGATAGTAATGCTTAGCGTGTATGAGGCCTTTTTAGGAGTACCTGGTATAGTAGCTACGGTACAAAGAGGCGTCGAAGTGACAAAGTAAAGAAGCGACTTAACAGTGTAAACAGTAACCAGGGAATGACCCTTGTACAGCACTGCATTTTGTGAATTGCTCCCGGAAGGCAACGATTATTAATAAGTGGCTGTTAAAAAGATCATTCTTGGCAACTGGCGGTGTTGTTGGCACCGCCTTTACGGTACATGATCCAGGCAAGGAAATTTTGTTTTGTTTTTGGCACTGATGGAATCAACAGTAAATAATATTAATAGGGACAGCGATATGCATAAATGAGTAGTCGCTGTATTAATACCTTGGGTTTTTGGATAACTTTTCGAGATTTTTTTTTTTTTTTTTAAACGCTCCCTTCGTTGCATTAATACCTTGGGTCTTTGGAAAACTTCGATTATTATTCTTTTTTTATCTATTTATTTATCTATTTTTACATAGCTCTGACGAAGGCCTGAGCCTGATTCAGAATCGTGTAGGTGTCACCTCTTCAAAGAACTTTCTAGTAAAGGAAATGGAGCCAGCTTCTCTTTAGTCTCTATTCTCGATCTTCTCAATATCTGCAAGACTCTATTTGAAGGTTTTATCAGTCCATCTTCACAGGCTCGAGAGGGACAGTCATTTCAAAACACGAGAGAACCCGAAGTGAAATATCTTACACTAAGGATTTATTCATCCTCAGTAGATCACGAGGAGAGAAATAGTCACCATATATCGAATTGGGATTTCAAGAGAACATGAGAATTCAAAGGTCTTGGCCCTAATAGTTTACAAAAGCATGCAACGGATCACTTTCATCTGATGGCAATTTTTATTAAGAGGATACTGTCTTTTGAGGGGAGGTTGTGTGATTTCTTGCACGAGTTAAACATGCAATGAATAGTTTAAACTTGCAATGTCAAGATCTATGATTTATATACATTTATAGCCTTCCTCAAAAGGTTCATGTTCACACATCTGTTCCTATTTACCTTCTAAGATCTCCTTCTTTGGTCTGGAACCTCAGAATCCTTATTTTGATTTTATTCCTGATATTTTTAGGCGAATTCCTTCGGGTGTTTGTGCCATGGTCGTCAGGGTTTGGGGTAGTTCGTGATGAACCGTATTCATGTTGACAAATGCAAAATAGTATGAATGAAAATGCATGTCTTCACAATACAAGAGATGTATTTGACCGGTTTCGAATATATCTTCGCCAGAAATACTTTTGAAGATATTCTTTCTCTTTCATACCCCCTCTACATACAGTAGTTCACGTTCTCATACAAACGAATAGTCCTTCTCTGTACCAAAATAACATGATTAAGGGACCTAAGACACCAATAACATCCACGATGAGAATATAGGTAGTTAGGAGTCAGAAACACTATAAACTAAATATTTGTCTTTACATTCACCCACCATGATTAAGGGACTTAAGACACCAATAACATCCACGGTGAGGTAACAAGGACAAGAGTCAGAAACACTATAAACTACCACATTTGTCTTTACATTCACCCGCTTCTCCATCTCGTCCTCCCATTCACAGGTAACTAGGACAAGAGTCAGAAACACGATAAGAAACTACCACATTTGTCTTTACATTCACCCGCTTCTCCATCTCGTCCTCCCATTCACAGGTAACAAGGACAAGAGTCAGAAAC